CAGTTATGTTGTTCTTGATTATCGGTCTTTCATTGGTTGGCGTATCTATAGTCACGATTTCTTTTGTCCTCATTATCAAGAAGAAAAAGAAAGTCAGACACCATAGTCAGCAAGAAAAGTGAGTTTTCAAAATGTATGTTTATATACATGATTTTTAACAGTTCTTAAATTTTGTAATTGGGTAAATATCCTACTCCATTAATGTTTTAAAGATAAGAAAGGAACACAACACCTACACTAAACTAAACCATAACTAAACGGTATTTCTTTTATGTTCTTGTTGTAATTAGATGGCACATTTTATATAAATAGATGATCAGATATATTTTAAATTGATAATATTTTTTATCATATGCACGTAGGGTGACTTTTGGAGCATGTCCTAGAAGGTCGGCTAATATCCAAAGCCCCTTTTAAATAATGAAAACAATTAAGTGATGCTTTTAATTTTTTGATGTTTTCTAATTAATTGTAACAACTTTTGTTGTACTTAATTATTTTTAACATTGTTCACAGTATGATCAATTTTTTTAATGGATTCTGCTGTTGTTACTAATGTTTAAATTACGATTTCTGTTTATATAATTTACTGTAGAATCCAATGAGGTTAATATCCAATTTTAACAAGCTGTATTTTAGACCAATATTTTTGCAAGAAACTAGTTTCTTTTACCCATTTCACACTGATGCTATCTTGCAAATATTAACAACTTGTAACAAGTAACATCGCGAGGCCTGTTTTTTTTCCGAAATCTTCCGAGTTGTTGTTGCGCATGCGTCATGTCCCTATTTTCACCTTTTCGCGGGCTGTGTTTTTTTGTTTTGTTTAGTTCGAACGAATGGCAGCAGCGATGGAAAACATTACTACCATTTGTTAATAGGCCACCTAAAATCAAAAGAAATCTCGCTAAATTTCACATGTCGGATGTAGTAAAAATCATGAGGCTTCGTAAGATACGCCGACAGCGAATCATTATGATGCTTGTCGCACTGATTGCCTCTAACAACAACGGTGAGCTACCTACCGGCCGCCAGGTGACAGACGATCGTCCAAAAACGGGCCCGATCGTCTCGAAAACGGGCCCGATCGTCCTGGGCCCGATCGTCTCGTGGGCCCGATCGTCTTAAGGGAAAACTGAATATTGGGCCCGATCGTTTGCTGACAAAATCGAAAATTTTCATAACCATTTTGGCTTGCCTAGGTCAATTTCGGCCGCGCCCCGTAAAATGACAGAATGTATGGAGCGCCGCGTTGTTGCTCCGCGAGTTCTTGGCATGCAGAATCGAAATTTCCAAAACTTTTTCGTCAATTTCGGCAGTCGAATGACTATTACACCAGGGAGGAGTTAATTCATCCTCTTCCGATTATACCAAATATTATATATTGGTGCATTCTGTTCTGTGGAACCATGTTTTGAGCCTTCCATATGCTATATATTTTGCTATTCTCATGTTTTTCTTTAGCTTGACAACGGTTGATAACCGAAAACGTTTGATCACTAATAAAATTATATATCTGGCAACTTATTACCATCTCTCCGGAGTTTTGTTTATATATATATACAGTATATGTATGTATATCTG